CTCACCTCCCACCTCCCACCTCCCCGCCTACCTGAGCCAGCCTTTCCTTTCTATGGCAGCAGGCTCGCGTGCCAATTACACACGCCAGGGGCCTCCAACACTCGTGGACAAAGCCCATCGTGTAATTCGCCATTTCCACATGCAAGTTGCGGTCCATGTCGTAGCAGTCAGGGAGCCCCAGACCCTGTGTATCTCAGCAAACTGTCCCGAAGCAAGGCGGGAAAGGGAAAGATTGATGCATTCCGGTTGTACTGTTGGAGAGACTGGGAGGTGTTCTGGTTTTCTGAGGAACACAGAAGCCACTCAGGAGAAATACAACCAGAACTGCCTGGGGAAGTAAGAGTGGCAAGCCTGGCTCACCCCGCAGGCAGAGCTGCAGGTCGGAGCAGTTGTATAGAAGATGCCATGTGTGGTAACGGAGAGGGCCGGTGAGGTGGCTCACACCGCAGCCTTGGGAATGGTGCCAAGCACCTGCACTGCCCTCGGCGGGGTGCGGCTCGTCCCCCTATAGCTGCTGTGAGCATTGTGCACAGTGTCTGTGCCGAGGTATTTGTACATACCTGGGACATCGCTGCTCCTCAGCTGTTCAGTAAAGCCGTTCTGTTTTTAAAGAGTCCTCTGCCAGGGCAAGGGACATTTCTATGCAAAGTTGCATCAAAGGATAATGTGGAGAACAAGTCTCCACCTCAAGATGCAGAAGGCAAAAAGCAAGTTTTCCAGAAATGAGCAGCAGAAGTGCTAGAGAAGCTTCTGGTCACCGCAGGTGCCAGGCAGCACTCGCTGTTCTGGGTGAACTGGGAGCCGGAGAGGTGGGCTGTAGAGGAACAGGACCTGAAATACGGGGCCGGCCAAGCCACTGCTACCCCGGCCTCTGCGGAGGCTCTGCTGATGTTGCCACCTTGCAGAACGAGGAGCCCGCTGGCACTTTAAGGCTAGGATACCGTATGTACCTGAACAGCAGTGCACACAGACCTGTCTGGGCTCAGCACCTCTCCTGGGCTGAAGCGCCAAGCCCCGGGAATGTACTCTGCCCACCCCACACACACCCCTGCTGCCTCTGTGCCAAGAGCTCTCAGCCGGAGGGCTGGGCTGTGGTGTGCCCGGAAAAGAAGTGACTAGCAAGGGCCCTGTGTGGTGCAGGTCCTGGGGGCCAGAGAGGGCCACCGGCTGCACCGCGCATCTGGGGCTGGGGCTCTGACGTGCAGAATCAATGGGAAGAGGTGCGGGGCAGGGGCACAGCTGAGGTGCGTGCAGTAGGTGCTCACACGGGTGGTGTGTGGTTCAGGGTGTGTACATGGGGGGGTATGTACAGTAGGGTGTGTGTCTTTGGTGTCTGTGTGCACATGTATGATGTGCATGTCTGGTATATGTACATGTGCACGTTCGTGTATGTGGCATGTGTGTGTCTGTATGTGGATAAATTGAGCATCTGCCCTGGAGTCGGGCTTCTTACCAACTGCCCCAGTTCCCAACCAAACAGCAGGAGGCCCGAAGCTGGAACTGGTGGCCTGGCCTTTGGGGTCCCAGTGCCCACTGCTCCCTTGACACCCCTGGGCCTGTTAGGAGGCCTCGTCCGCGTGACCCCTGGGTGGCTTGTGCCCGTGCCTACACGGCTGCTTAGGGGGCAGCCAGAGGCTTCCAGAGCCGTGGGCGGGGCCTCAGTGCTTGTCTGGTGTTATGGGGATGGGCCTTCAGTGTGTGCTCACTGCCATGGGGTTCAGTGGTGCTGGTGGCGGTTGAATGTGGGAGCCTGGAGAGGTCTGGACTGAGCAGAGCGTCTTGGCTGAGGGCCAGAAAGGCTGGAGGGGCAGAGGGAAGGACTGTGCAGGGCCTGGTGCTCACCAGTGGCCTCATGGCTGCGTTCCACTGACCAGAGCAGCTGATGGGGTCGGTGCAGCCATCCCGCACACATGCAGTGGTTGGGAGCTGGTGGTGAGACAGGACTCGGCAACCATGCATGAGGTGGAAAGGCAGCCCGGCTGCCGGCTTTCTGCTCACAAGGGCTCCTTCCACTCGGGCTCCCTCTGGGGTGGGGGGTCAGCTGTACTGTGTGTGTCAGTCCCAAGCCCCAGTGCTGCCAGGAGGCTGAGGCCCCAGGTTTGCATGGGAAGGTGCTGGCTACCTGAACACTTAGGAGAGGTCAGTGAGAGCCTGCAGCAGGGCTGCAGCCCACCAGTGTGTCTCTGGAAGGAAGGGCGTAGAGCCATGGGGAGAGGGTGGGGCTCTCACAGAGGGACCACCAGGGCGGGGTGGGAGGGAGCTCGAAATGCAGTTACCCACGTCAGCCTAGTGGTGTTTGGCATCTGCCCTCAAGTCATTTCTAGCATCCAGACCTCATTGAGGACCAAGCACTGCTCAGTGCCCCGAAAGCTGCCTCAGGTGAGAGGTCAGCAGTGTCAGTGTAGATGCTGCCTGGCTGTCAGGAGATTGCTCATGAATGGATAGAATCTCGTGTGGAACCTTCTGGCCAGAGGCTGTTGCTTGTCATCCTGTTGACAGTTAAACACTGACCTTCCAGCAGCTGCATTTGGTCTGGATTGACCTGGTGTGGGTTCCACAAAGTGTCATTTCAGTAAGTGCTAAGAGACCTCAGGGAGTGAGCCCCTATACACACACCCTGCTGCTCTGTTTACTCATAAACAGTCATCCTCGGGACTGGTTCTTCCGGGAGCTTCTCTCCTCCAGGTGCCATCCAAAACACCTCTGGCCTGTTTCCCAAACAGCCCCTACTTGTGCTTGATGGAAGTAAGACCCTGGCTCCCTGAGAGGAGATGAGTGGCCTTTCACGCGGCCCCAGGAGGGGAGAGGTTCCCTGCTGTGCAAGCCCTGTGCGGTTTTGGTCTTGCTCACCAGACTCTCCAGGCCCCCATTTTCACCCTGCTGTGTCCAGTGCTTCTCAGCCAAGGTGAGCTGAACCCTTCCTAACTGACCATGGAGAGCAGTGTGAGTTAGCTTCAACCTTACATCGTCGCTAAATGCAACCACCCAGCAAAATGCATTCTGGGAAATGAGACTTTATGGACTGAGCCTGCTGGAAGCAACTTGTTCTGTCTCCCTGACCCCCAAGGAGCAAAACCAGCTGCGGGTGTTGTGACCCCCTGGGTATAAACTGAGGTGCCTGCTCCCCAGGGCTGTGATCCCTGGGTGTAAACAGGTTGGTGCCCTGCTATGTCTGTCTCCAGCTCCAGATGTAGGGCCAGGGAGCAGAGCCACGGTCCAGAAACTGGATTCCCATGCCATCTCGACAGGTCTCCCCTGGGCTGACCAGACGGCGCAGTGGCAGCAGGTCCAAGGTGCCTCGCTGCCATGGGGATGGGGCTGCCTGTGCACCTCTGGAGTGGGGAGTCAGGACGAGGGGGCGCTGGGCTCCTGCAAACGGCCCTGTGGGGAGCTGGTGGCAGAGCCCTCCTGAGGTTTTGACTGCACTAGACCACGCAGAACAAGCCTCATGTTGGGAACGCGTCTATCTGCCAGGACAACTGCCCTCGGCCCCCAGTCGCTGTCCCACCAGGCAGGCTCTGGAGGCTGTGTCACCGCCATCGAGGAGCGGGCCCTTCCCCTCAGCAGGGCTGCTGTCTGCCCGCCAGTCTGTGCCGTGAGGGCAGGGAGTGTTCCGTCAGCACTGTACAGCACCTGGTCAGGCAGTTGGGGCTAGGGTGCCTGGGGATCAGCTCTGTGGACAGGTGAGGTGGCCAGGACTCTAGCTCCCAGGGAGCTGCTGGGGGTGGGGGTGACGCCGCAGTGTTTGTTCCTGGGCTGCATTACAAACATACCACCCAGTCAGGGTCTTGCTGGACCCACCCAGCAGTCGGGCAAGGAGGGCCTGCACTCACACCAGCCTTGGTGACAGCCCTGCACTGACTGGGTGACATGCTCATTGATGGAGAGTTGGTGTGCTCGTACTTGGGACATGAGTATAGCAAGTGTACACTGCTGCTGCCCCACCTCCCTGCTGACAGCCCAGCCCTCCCCTGGGCAGGCTGAGCTGGGCGGACACGCGTCTGCACAGAGGGGACCCCAGGCCAGGCCCCCGGAGCCAACACACTAACTGGCTGTACAAGGCAGGACGGGTGCTGCCACAGCAGGCTCCCTCTGCTTCACCAGCACAGCGTCCGCATCGTCCTCCAGCGAGGCATTCACAACACATTCTGTGAGATGGGGTGTTGGCGCGGATCTTTAGAAGGAGGTCCCCAGCCTCGGTGCTCACCTCCGAGTGACCGGTGAGTTTCAGCTGCTAACCTCGTGGTTAGTTAGCCATCCAGTGCTTAACCCACAGTGCCCCACGGGCTCTGAAACCAAACCACTGCCTAGGTGCAAGCTGGAATCAGTGATCCTTGGGCAGTTAGCCGCAGAGGCAGCAGTTTGAGCCGCTCCCGGAGAGAAACACGGAACTTGCTTTCTGCTCCTGTCACGTCACACCTGAGCAGCCACAGGAACAGCTCGGCGCCGTCCACCAGGCCATCGTGAGGGCTGACCGACTTCCCTGCCCGGGCCGGCGCTCAGTCTTCAGGGAAGCAGAGAGGGTGCAGAAATGACCACACTTTGAAATGGCCTTGTGCACACAGTTGTGGCGGGTTGCCAGACGCCGTGTGACTCAGCAGGTGGGGTGCTGGTCAGCCGTCTGTGAGGCCAGTCAGCTGCACCCCTCAGAAAACCATGGGTCAGGGGGCCCGGGGGAGGTGGTCAAGCCTGGACGTGAGGCCAGGGCACGAGGGAGAGCACTGCAGCAGGCCTGGTCTGCCGAGGTGGGCCCTGGGTCTGAGCCAACTGTGACCCAGCCAGCAGCCGCCCTGATTGACGGTGTGCTGCAAAGCACATCCTTCAAGTTGTGTCCCTCCCCCTCCGAAGTGCTCCTCACTCTTCACGTCCACTCGCTGCCCTTGAAGGGGACAGCCATTTCCACGACTGCTGGGAGTCACGCGGACCCCAGAGGGTGTTTTTGAGTAAAGTTCAGGGTGATCTTAGGGCAGTAGTTTTAGGGGCTCCCCCAGCATCCATGACTGAGGAGGTGTGGCATTCATGAGGATCTGCAGTTCTTTTCTGCATCTCCACCCCACTCCGCTCTGTTCAAGATTCTTCTGTAAATCTGATCCAATGTCCAGTGATGGTAGCCAGGAACGCCCTGTACTGATACATTGTTCATGGAGGCCATCAGCCGCCCATCTGAGCCCTCTCCAGTTCTGACCCTGCTGCTTACCTTGCTGTCCAGGTGGACAGGGCCCGAGGTAAGCCTGGCGTGCCTCTGGCCAGCTCCTTGGGCCCCAGGCTGTGCAGAGAGAGGCAGAACAGAAGCCATAGAGATAGGCTGGTCAACTAGGGTCCCACAAAACCATTACCTTAAACCTCCAACCTAGGTAACCAGCCGCTCAGCTACTCAGTATTATAAAGAGAACCTTCACACAGTGTTGCCAGTTAAACTCCCTAGGTACACAGCTTGTTGACAGCAGTTACAGGAACCGGCGATACAGTGCTCTCCTTAATCTGCCGAGGTTCCCACTGGCGATGCCCTGCCTCCCGCCCTCCCAGCCCATGTTGCTGTGAGGGCCCGTCAAGTTGGGTCCTGAGCCATCCTCACCAGGGTTCCCGTGCCTGGGCCCCTTGTTGCAGCCACCGTGTCCATCTATCTTTGAAAGTCTTCCTCGTTTTCACTGCCCCTCTACCCACCATGATGTCCTCCAGGGACTGGTCTCTCCCGACAACATGTCTAAGGTACATGAGATGAAGCCTCCCCATCCTGGCCGTACTTCCAACACAAACTTGCTTCTCCTCTTAGCTGCCCTTGGTACTTCCAGTATTCGTTATTGGATGTCCACTTGCACAGGCATATGGGGCAATTGGAAATGCTATGGCTCAGGCCAGGCACACCGAGTCCTGCTGACCGCTAGCGAACCACTTGTCCTTACCTTGTGATCCAACAGAAACCGTACAGTATTTGGCACCTTATGACTGGCCAGTTTGCTTACTTGGGCAGTTCCAGGGCACCTTGCTATGGCCTGCGTGCCAGGTGGTTTGCTGTCTGCGCCAGCGGGGTGCGGCAGCCAGGGTGTACATGGGGGTTGGAGGCCAGCTCGGAGCCCTGAGGGGGCCCCTCAGGAAGCCTGCTGAAGCCCGTGACTCTGCCCCCACAGCTCGAGCGCATTGACCCCAGGGCCGTGCAGCTGGCCTCCCTGCTCCTCCGTGGCCTCACCACGCTGGTGTTTGTCAACAGTGCGTGTGGTTTCCCTCTGAACGTGAATGACTTCATGCCCTGGAATATCTTTGATGGGAAGCTCTTTCATCAGAAGTACCTGCAGTCCGAAAGAGGGTACGCAGTGGAGGCCCTTCTGGAGCAGAACGTGAGTCTGCATGTGTGGGGCCTGGCCAGCTGACTGACTGCTGCCAGTCACAGTCACAAGGCCATGCATGCTCATAGCCGTCAGTCACAGTCACACAGGGTCATAAAGTCAGGCTTGGTCAAGACAGTTGGACGCAGCCATGCGGAGTCACCACCCTTAAACCTGCTCCCAGCTGTTAGTCCTGGTCACAGGTGTGAAAGGAGGCCCAAGAGCACCCTGCTGGGGCCCAGCAAGCACCTGACCTACATGCTCTGTCCTGCAACCCTGCAGGCAGACACATCTGCTGGGATGATTCCAGGACTGCAGCCCCCTCCCTGGTGGGGAGATGGTGTCGCTTCAAAGCTGCAGGAGGGTTCCCCACCCCACGACTTCTGCCCCAGAGCCAGACTCCCACCCAGCTCTAATTTCCAACTTTCTGCATTCTGTGCTCCTCCAAGAGGTGCTGCAGCCACAGGCCTGATGACAAGCTGGGTGGTCAGGGCTCACTCCTTGCGAGTAGACCCCCAAGGTGGCCAGTTCACGGGCTTCTGACTGCACTCGGTCCTGTTGGGTGAGGGGAATCACTGCAGGGCTCTCGTGTCCAGAGGCAAGAGCAAGGCTGCCATGACCAGGAGGGCACATGGGCTCCTTGAGACAGCGCACTCTTCACCCTCACCCACAGGGGCTGGGCCCTCACGTCATGGCGGGCAGCACTGCTGAGAGCCCGTCCTTACACAGCCTGAGGTCGGGGTTCCCCACACCCAAATTGCTCCCAGGATCAGGCCCACTGTCAGGGTCTCCCAACCTGCACTGCCCCCTGGATCTCCCATGCCCACACACCCCACACCCGGGGGTCCAGCCTGCAGTCGGTCGGGCCCCAGGGTCCCTGCCTGGGGCAGGCTGAGCTCCCTGCGCACTGAGGCCCCGCCCTGTGTTTACAGAGGGCCTGGCTGGCGTGTTTCCAGAGCCTCAAGGCAGCGGTGGTCAAGGCCTGCCTGAAGGAGAGCAGACGCATTGGGAGCCGGCAGCCCTGGGGCATGCCCCATACAGGTGGGCGGGGCACATGGCTCTTCCGGCAGAGGAGCAGGGTGCACAGAGTCCATGGCAAATGGGTGGGTAGGGTAGGGGCTCCCATCCAGGGTGAGTGGGGCACGGGAGGCTCCAGGAGGCTGGAAGAGGCATGAATTGGGTGTGACAGGCTGCCGGAGCACTGGCTGCTCTGGATACAAGTCAGGAAGATGCAGGTGCTCCTGAGCTGCTGTGTGGGTGCAGCAGTATGCGTGTCCCCACCTCAGTCTGCAGCACAGCCCCCTTCTTCCCTGCCGGGTGGCCCCATCTGCACTGTAAGGGAGCCCAGTGCAGTCTTCCGCCCACCTTGACCGGCTCTCAGGATGAGCATGTGACAGCCCAGTGACGTGTTCACTGTTCCACAGGGCCCAGGGCAAGACAGCAGACGAGTTCTGGATGTAGCCCCCAGGGACAGCCGTGGAGGGAGCAGGGACCAGGTGAGTCAATGCCCCTCGCAGAAGGCAGCTCCTGGTGGTATTTTGAATTCCCTTCTGACCCATCTTTGGCCACTGTCTCTGATGGTGTCCCCTGCTGCCGTAAGGCTGCCAGTGTCTGACAGTGTCCCCTGCTGCCGTAAGGCTGCCAGTGTCTGACAGTGTCCCCTGCTGCCGTAAGGTTGATAGTGTCTGACAGTGTCCCCTGCTGCTGTAAGCCCTCCAGTGTCTGACGGTGCTCGGCTGCTGTATCTAAGATCTTCAGTGGCTCATTCCTCGAAGTGGCATCTTATTTCTTCTTTGTAGTCTGGAAGCTCCGCTGAAACCTGTCGACTGTGGGTAGCCCTGCGGGCATTTGAAATACCAGTGGCATTGCTTCCAGCATCACAGAGGACGACAGACTGACGGACAGTGAGACTGACATTCGTGGCTAACAGTCTGACAAAGCCTCTCTCACACCCTGATTCAACGTACCTCTGTCACACCACCTGTCTTGCTGAAGCCTCACAAAACATCTTCATGGCACAAGCCTGTAGTCAGAGAGGAGGTGGATAGACAGGCTTCTCACTGGTTGGTAACTGACATCAGAAATCAAAGCCCAGCCCAGACGTTGCCAGCAGATTGTCTTGGCCCGGAAGGCCCGCCCTTGGGCATCTGTGCTGAACTAGCACAGTAGATCTGCCCTATTCAGGATGGCGGAGAGAGGGATCTTTGGTAGCATAGTGAGTTACATGTTGGGCTGCTAACCACAAGGTCAGCAGTTAGAGTCCAGCTGCTCTCCGGACAAAGACATGCCTTTCAACTCTTGTGAACTGCCTTACAAACCCATAGAAGCAGTTCTGCCTTATCCTATAAGGTCTCTCAGTTGGAACACCTGGCTGGCAGTGAGTTTGGGGTTTTGTGAGGGAGAAGGAGAGAAAGGCAGAGGGGCCGGCCCTCCAAGTGCAGCAAGAGCACAAGGAGCTGTTGAGAAAGCCAGCAGGCTTTCTGGAACACGGTAAATGCTTGCTTAATGAATAAGTGAGTGGCCGTACACGAGGAAGGAGGTCATGAAGTGTGAGCATGTGGGTTTGGCGTCGCAAGCTCTAGAATCCCAAAGGCCCTCTGCCACTTGACTTGAAATTGTACACTGTCCAAATGAGGTGCTATTTCTTATTGTCTTAAAACCCTCCAAGGGCTCTCCCACTGCCACTTACTTCCAGCTTCTGTCCAGGCTCCTGTGTCCTCGAACTCGTCCCCTCCCAGCCACACCCATGGCCCCTGCAATCCCCCTAGGTTCAGGAGCTAAAACTGCAGTGACTGGCTGAGACACCCTGGAGCATGACTCCAGCTCTGTGCACACACACACAGTCTGCTGTGTAGACCCCCTGCTAGTGCGCCCACGCTATCCGAGACACTGGTGGGTGGAGACTGAATGCTGACATGCCCGCATAATTGCATTCATCGTCAGAAAGAAAATCTCAAGATCCGTCTCTGAGCACAGTGCTGTCTGCCCCAGGATTATAGCTATAGCACATAAGGAGATCTGGTTAACACAACTGCAACTCAGATTTACCTACAACCTCTAAAACTAGTGATGAAGGCATTGAAAAACCTTGCCAACTCCTTCCATCCGAAATGGATCAGACATAATGAAGATGCACCGGAGATCGTGAACAACGGGAATGTAAAAGTTGGAAACAACTTCCAAACAGTGCTTGGGAAACACGGCCTTGGTGATAACAGCAAGACTGGAGACTGCCTGAAGGAATTCTGCAGGACCAGGAACTTCTTCAGCACAAGTCACAGTTTCTAGCACCAGCCTCGCCTGTGGGACACACAGGAATCAAACTGACTGTGGCTGCTGGCAGAGAGTAGAGAAGCTCCATTTCGCAACTCACACAGGCCAAGTGCTTTCTGTGGAACAGACCTTCAGGTGCTCATTCAATTGGAATTGAAGAAAATTAAAACAAATCCACAGGAGACACAACACAACCTTGCGTGTATCCCCCGTGAATTTCGAGAGCATCTCACGTGGGTTTGAAGCATGCACACCAGTGACAGCAGACCTGATGAGCTGTGGGGTGACTAAGAACATCATCCACAAAGAAAGCAAAAGGAGAGAGAAGATCAAAGTAGACGTCACGAGGAACTCTTCACCTTGCTCTTGACCTCAGAGTAGCAAAAGCAAGTGGGAGAAATGATGGAAGATGAAGAGCTGGACAGAAGATTCCAAAGGGCAGCTCAAGAAGACAAAGTATTGGAACAAAATGTGCTGGAGTGAAGCCCATAAGGGAAGGCCACGCTCAGCTTAGTTTAAGCTGAAAGGACTAAAGAAAAAAATCCAAGCCTTGAGTTGCACTATGGGAAGATTCTGTGGACATGATGCTCGGTCAAGTGGACGGTCAGTGAGAAGAAGACCCTCCATGAGATGGCACGGGCTGCCACCGTGGTTCAGATGTATCCTTTGTAAGGATGTGCCAGGCCAGGCACTATTTTGTTCTGCTGTACAGAGGGTCTCTCTGAGCCAGGACCAACTCGATGGTGCCCAGCTACAGCGGCCTGGCCAAGACAATGACTGATGCAGAAGGCGCCAAAGGAGACAGAAGGAATACCGGAGGATGCCAAAAGTATCTAATAGACAGCCGCCACATCAAGACATGTAGCAGATGACCAAGGAGCGGTACAAGGAAAAGAAGAGGTCCAAACTGCACGGAAGGAGCTAGCAAAGTACAAGCTTCGAGAATGGGCGGGATACTAATTAAAAGGTTTAAAAAGTTGAGGCACTGGAAGCACTCACTCCTCTATATGAAGAAATGTGGAAGACAGTTACTTGGCCAACCAACTGAAAAATGCATATTAGTATCCATTCCAAAGAAGGGTGACCCAACAGAAGGAGCAAATTATAGAACATCATTAATATCACATGGAAGTAAAATATAGGTGAGGATAATTCAGAAAGTGGTTGCAGCAGTACATCGACAGGGAGCTGCCAGGAATTCAAGCCAGACTCAGAAGAGGACAGAGAACAAGGGATATCATTGCTGACATCAGATAGGCCTTTGCTGAATACAGAGAATACGGGGGGGGGAGGTTACTTATATTTTATTGACTACTACACAAAGGCATTTTACTGTATGGATCTTAACAAACTGGATAACCTTGAATAGATTGGGAATCCCAGAATGCTTCATTATGCTCATGTGGAAGCAGTGGTTGTGCAAACAACAAGGGACTACTACATGGTTAAAAGCAGGAAAGGTGTGTGTCGGAGTTGCATCCTCTCACTATACTTATCAGTATGCTGAACAAATAATCAGAGAAGCTACAGAGTGTGGCATCAGCATTGGAGGAAGGGTTAACAATCTGAGATCTGCAGACGACTCCACCGGCTTGCTGAGAGTGAGGAGGACCTGCAGCACTTGCTGATGGAGATCGGACTGCAGCCTTCATGTGGATGACGACTCATGTCAAGAAGACCCCAGTCCTCACACCTGGGCCATCTAGCAGATGGAGAAAGGGCTGAAGTGGCCAGTGTTTCGTGTTGCTTGAATCCATAATCCATTACTGCTCATGGACACAGCAGCCAGCTCCAACGGAGCATCACCTCAGGTCAGCCGTTGCTCGGACCTCTTTAAAATGTTGAAGCGTAAGGATGTCATTTTGAGGACTAAGTTGTACCTGACCCAGGTACACCACGCTACTTCCAGTTGCTTCCCATGCGTGTGAAAAGTGGACGTTGGATAAGGAGGAGCAAAGGCGAGCCGGCGCGTTGGGAGGACAGTGCTGGTGACCAAGATGGAGGAAGCACCACAGAGGCCAGAGGAACAATCAGCAGAGTGTTCCTGAGGATGGCGGGTGGCGAGACGTCATCTCAGAGATCGGGAAAGGCCAGTCCCCGGGAAGGACTTTGTGCTGGTCCAGTAGAAAGGCAGTGGAAGTGGGTGGACACTGGCTGCAGCAGTAGGCTCCAGTAGCACCATTGTGCGGCCGGCCCAGAACCAGGTGGTGTTTCTTGCTGTTGCACCTGAGCTCGTTGTGAAGTGGGACCAACCCGATGTCATATGACAGTGCAAGTATCAAAACGGACTGTCCAGGCAGTGGGCATTCCTCCCTCACCTGTCCCACCTGCAGAGGTGGCACGGTCTTACTCTGGGAGTCTTTATAACTCCAGGCCAATGTCTCGGTTGTCGAGTAGTGGCCAGGGGACCCTGCCCTTGTCCTGTCCTGTGGGTGTGTGGTGCCATAGCACGTGGATATCGGGCAGGGAGTGGTGTAGATGGCCCTCCAGGGAGGTGGTCTCAGAGCCCGTAGCGGGAGCTGGTGGGGCTGAGAAGAGTGGCTGGTGGCACAGGCTCAGAGCGAGCAGGCTGGAAGCAAAGGAAAAGGGGAACAGACAGCCCCGCTGGCTCCAGGTACAGACAGAGGCCAAAGCTGGAGGGAGGATGGAGCCTCTGCAGACCCGGGGCGCATCAGACAGGAGCGGTGCTCAGGCATGGTCCGAGGTATGGCTGAGGGGTGAAGGCTGTCGTTCTGAGAGCTGTGAAAGGTGCAGCACTAGGAGGGGAGGACCTCCCCCTTGGCGGGTGGAGGTTGTTGGTCCGGGGCTTGGCAGGGAGAAGGTGGACACAGCAGGGGCTCTGGTTACTCATGGGGACGCACCTGCAGGGTTTCTCGGGGTCATTGGGCTGTCTGTGTGGCGAAGAGCACCTGGTGTCTGTGGTCCATGGGCCTTTGGGAGTATTTGAAAGACTCAGTGAAGAATCAAGGACACCGTTTGTCGCTCCTCAAGGTTGGTTTCCTCTGGGCTTCCCGAGGAAAGTTAGGCCTGCAGCCCTCAAGCCCTGAGTGTCTTCCTGTGCCTGGGCCCGTCAGACCCCCACCGCTCTCCAGCTGAGTGCGGGCCCAGCACCGGGAGTGTGATGGTCTCACGCTGTACCCCGGGGGTTCAGGGTGGTCCCAGGATCTTTGATGATGCTGGAGCCGGTCCTCAGCTCCCACTGGGTAGACCCCAATAAACACTGTGGCCAGGCTGACTGGGCAGCAGCTTTCCTCAGTGCGTGTACAAGCCGACCACGGTTCTGGGGACTCCCTGATGCTCTGTGGACGTCTGACCCCAGCCTGCCTTGCTTTAGGACACCCCTGACACATGGGAAAGGACAGCACGGGCCTTTTGAAGTCCTCCTGAGCCAGAGGGGTGAGCAGGCCTCCAAGGATGCAGGGAAACAGTGCGAAGAAGCTTCGTGGACGAGTAACACTCAGACAGGCTAGTAAGCAAATGTCTGCTTGCTCTCATCATTGCCGTTGCTAAGCAAGAGCCGGTCTTGCTGGAGAGTCAGTGGCAGATGGGAGTTGTCCCCAGAGAACTCTGACATCATCGGGAGCTACAGGACAGAGTGGGTTTCTGAGACGGTCACTCCACAGAACACACAGCCTCGTCTCAGCCACTGGGTTTGAACCACTGACCTCGTGGTCAGCAGCTAACTGTGTACGCCCCAGGGCCCCTGTTCTCAGGGAACTGAGCACTGAGAGCCCGTCCTCCAGCCAGTGGGAAGCTTCTGGCGGAGGCCTTCAGCTGGGAGGTGACAGCAAAGAGGGAGAGACCAAGGCTCTGAGCAGTGTGTAGGCTTCCTGCTGTGGCTGGGTCTTGAGGGTGGCAGCTCCTGCTGCCATTCCCTGGGCAGGTAGACGTGGACCAGGTGGGAAGTCCCAGTGGTTTGCAACAGAATTCACAAGGCAAATTCTTTGTGCTAACAAAACTGCTAGAAACCTCACAATCACGGGAACAGCTCCCTATCCAGAGAGGGAGACCCCCCAAAGCTACGGGGGGGCCGCCCTCTCCTAGCCCCCCCCCCAGCTTTGTCTGAGGCCGAGGTGTGAACCTCACCTGGCCAAGGTGACAAACTTAAAAGCACAGGAGCTTGTGAGATGCCCCAGGTGCTGTGGAGAACAAAGGGCAGCTGGGTGAGAAATGGTCCCTGCCTCCTGGGGTGGACAGGAAGGACCTGTGAAATCTCACAGCTGGAGCTGCTGGGCCCCGCCCTGAGGCTGTAAAGCATGTCTGACCCTGCTGCACCTGGGGCCGCATCACCAGAACCCCTTCTGATGGAAGTGTGAGGGCAGGGGTGGGCACAACAGGACCAGGGGAGGAGTGGGGCGGAGGGGCTGGAGGAGGACTGGGGAGAGCAGGAAGACCGGAGCCAGCAGGGCTTCTCAGGGCGTTTCCCGTCCAGGTGTGGGCCAGGCACCCTCCTCTGAGCCTTGCCGTGTCTGCCTCCCAGGAAGGCACAGAGGCATCACTGCGGACAAGTGGCCCGGCTCTGGGCTCAGTTGAGGGAGGACACCCATCCATCACAGAGCACTGGGCGTGGAGAGGGCAGCTCTGTCCTGAAGGCGGCAGGGTTCCCACGTGGATGGACTAGTTAGACGACTGTCTCGGCGCTGGGTGACCGAACAGAAAGCAGAATAGGCCCTGTCCCAGAGGACAGTGGAGCCTGCTGCTGGGAAGCACACTGGAGCCAGGCTTAGTCGCTCGTGGTGTAATGTGGTCTTGTTTCGTTTCTCTTGTCTGACCAGGTAGCCGACAGTACGCACATGAGCAACGGAGAAAGTACTCGAGGCCTCTGGGTAAGTGCCTCCTCCGTGGTCCACTCCCCAGAGAGGAGACACCCCGGACCCTGGTGTCTGGTGTCACCTGGAGACACCTGGTGTCAGGCACTGGGCCCCGGGCCAAGCCAAGCAGAAGTGGGAGCAGTCAGTCCCCTTGGGACCCAGACACAGGTATCCCAGTGCCCCACCGCTCACCTACTTTGGGTGCCTCAGGCTTTGTCTCTGGAATGAATATCAGTGCAGCTGTGCTAAAGCCTTGTGTTGTAACTGAACTGAAATTATTTTGAAAGAACTGGCATCAACCTGGCACCATAAGTTGCTTTAATTATCCAAACTCCCTGCCAGCATTCCCCCCCACCCAACCCCCCCGCCCCGGAAGGGAGCCCAGCAGGAAAGGGGGAAGGCAGATCTACCTTGTGCCCCATGGAGCCACTGAGAGGGGTCTTCCAGGCACCTCGGCCTAACTGGGCGCCTTTGATTGATCCGCAGGCTGGGCAGGCCCTCATGATTTCCAGCTCTGTTTCAAGTGAAGTGCCTCAGTGCTGGCTGCTGCAGAGGGGGGAGGGGAGGTCTGGTGGTGAGGCGGGGTCCACACTGGCCTTGCTTACTGCAAGGTCAGATGGTCAAATCCACTAGCCACTCCTCAGGAGAAAGACGCGGCTGCCTACTCCGCTAAAGAAATGTAGTCTCAGAAACCCAGGGGGCAGTTGTGCCTTCCACTGCAAGGTCACTGTGAGTCGGAACCCGCTCAAAGGCAGCGAGGTGAGTGTGTGGTTGTTGGTTTTGTTGTTGTTTAGTTTGGCAGCTGCAGACAGAAACAAATTACATCTATGTAATTGTTTTTCTGCTATTGTTTCTTACTATCATACATGATTACAGTAAAGTCCCAAATGCTAGTCAGTTACAATGAAGAGGAGTTCAGAATAACTCCAGGAAAGAGAACCTTTTCAAACTTCCCAGGTTACCCAGCACAGTAAGGAATACTCAACCCAGTGCAGCCAGGTGGAGGGGGCGGATGTGCACACGACTGTATGTGCTGAACATGTGTGTATGTGTCTGAGCACAGGTGCACACGTGAGTAAGTGTGTGCACTAGTGTCTGCATGAACTTGTTTGTGTGTGTATGTGCATACACATGTCAGGGTGGGCATGAGTGTAAATGTACATGAGCACATGGTACACTTGTATTAGAGTGTATGGGTATGTTTGTACACCCGTGTGCATGAGTGTGTGCACTTATGAGTGTGCATACATAAAAGTGTCCATGTGTGTGAGCGTGAGTATGCATATGTGAGCATAAGTGTCCTGTATGACTGAACATGTGTGCACATAAGTGCATGTCTGAGTGAGCATATATGTTCAGGCAAATGTGCATGAGTGTAACGTGTGAGCTTGCATAAGAACGTGTGTGTACAAGTGTTAGTGCCATCGTGAGTGTGTGCACATGTGAGCGTGTGCAGAAGCACACAGCCACGTCAGGCCTGCTGTGAGCACGGATGGGGCTTCCCTGAGCAAAAGCTGAGCTCCTTGCAGGTCAGAGGCACCCTCTCAGGTGGCGCTGACCGGGCACTTCCTCCTGGGGAAAGGTTCTAGAAGTGCTGCTGTGGCTTCTGGTTCCTTGCCTATCTGCAGTCTCAGTTCCCTGGCACTCCTTCTGTCCACCCCCACCCCCTTTGTCAGAATCAAGACCCCTATCTTGGAGTGTCAGCTGTCCCAGCAAATGCTCTCATTGGTGATGCTGAGACCCTGGGCTGGAGAGGCAGGGCAGCAGCATGGGTGGCCAGGCACCGGCACCAAGGGCAGTGGGGTCATACACATGAGGTCAGAGCTAAGCCTGGGACAGGGGCAGTGTCCACACCAGGCAGGGCTGCCGGGACATGGAGACCTCTGCACACTGGACTGGTCAAGAGTTAACTCGGAGAAGCAGGGTACAACCTTCCAGTGAGGCTCAGATTCTCCTTGTAAACCCACTCTAAATGCCCACCCCTTGCCTCTCCCTCTCCACCACAGAGCATCTGATGCACACACACAGGCCCCGCCCTGACTCCTTCACACCCTGTGCCCCAACACTCCAACCCCATGGTCACCCCTCAGTCCCGCACCTGGGCTCCCCTGCACCCCAGCCCTGCCCCAACAGTCACTTCAACACCTCCCCACCCTGGTCCTGCACTCCAGCCCCTCCACACAGGGCCTCCTGTCCGAAGGATGGGAGAAGCTGACTGAGGTGACAGCCCTACTCAGGTGAGTCACAAGCTTGTTCTGTTCCAGGACGTCCAAGTGACCCGCAGTGAGCAGGACTGGCAGAGCCCCTATGGAAGAGAACGCACCCTTTCACCATGGTGCCCGCAGCCAGCACCCAGCGTCTCTGAGCCTCACCGTGCCAAGGGGTGGCCCCACCCTGTGGCCTCAGGGCCGTGTCCTTGGATGGCCACCATGGGCAAATTGCGGCAGGATGCTGGGGGGGTAATAAAGCAGAGCGTGTTGTCCTGTGTGCAGCCCCACTGCAGCCCTGGGGCACATCCTGCATATACACAGCGCTTCAAGCGTGTGAGTTCACGTGCGTGTTCACAGGTCCTGCCCCTGTCCCCACCCCCTTCCTCAATTCCATTGCCTGCGAGTAGTGGGACCCAGTGGTGAGCTGGACTGAGCAGCACCCTGCAAGCTCTTCACTGATGGTGCTCTGTCCGCCCTCGGGGCGCTGGGTGGTAGTGCGGCCAGTGTCGGGGACCAGGCTTCTAGATGTGTTCACTGCTCCATCCAGCTGTCCACACTGGCCTGGAACCTTGAGCCAACATCAGAGGGGGTGAACAAGAGGACAACACCAACAGGTGGGGTCAGAGTGACCTCAGGGCTCCCACAGAGCTGAGATGGTCCAGCACCCACATGCTCCACAGGTCCCGGTGGACAGGCAGACAGGTGCTTTTCCTGACCTTGTGTATCCGACTGACCAGAAGCCACCTATGCATGCAGGCTCCCAGACTAGGCCCCCTGTGGAGAGGGGGGCTGTCAGCGCGCGCGCGCACACACACACACACACCAACCCCAGAAAGCCAGGACTGGGGGATGCCCCCAAGGGGAGAGCAAGGGCCAGAGGGGTGGGGGTGGTGTGTGTGTGTGTAAGAGTGTGTCCAGGGGAGGGGTGGGGATGGTGTGTGTGTGTGTAAGTAAGAGAGAGACTGTCATGGGAGGGCGGGGGTCATGGCAGCATCAGTCCACATGTAGGCCCGGGCAGTGTCCCTCATGTGGCTGCCCTGCACCTGCCCCACAGACTGCCTCTGGAGGCAAGCTGGCCACTGGCCTTGGTGGATTTTCAGGCTATGGGCAGTCAGAGGCCAGTTGGGGTGAACAGCCCTCTGCTGTGGGATTGAGGGCCTGACACACACACACACACACACACACACACACACGTGGCAGGGATCAGACTTGCAGGACAGATGTCCCTCAGGTCTCCTCCCCCGGACTGCCTTCTGGGCCCAGGCCTGGCGTCCAAGGATACACTACAGGTGGTTGTATTTTTTTTTAACAAACTAACCCAGAACCTCCCTGAGTGGGAGAGTGTTCTGTGGCCCCCAAGAGGCTCTGACCTTAGGTGGGGAGGGGGACACCCTTGAGGCGATGGTGGGATCTGCATCCTAGGGGGCCTGTGCCACACCCTGGGAACCCTCTCCACAGGCACCCCACAACCCAGGTGCTCAAAAGAACAGCCTGGGGTCCCAGCTGGAGCAGAGGGCACACAGGTCCCCGGGAGGGTGCAGCAACTCGGGAGAGAAAGGGGTCTGGAGAGGGTTCCAATGGGGAAGATTAAAAGGCTGGCAAGTGGCCAGCTTTCCCCAGCACAGCTAGCCCACTTCAGGCGAGTGGTGCTCACAGGGCAGTCATCACTGACCACTGGGGAAGCCTGGCTTTCTCACACCTGTGGCCCTTTCCCGAGCTGAGAGTTCCCATCAGCCTGCCACAGCGGCCCAGGTCAGCCAGTAGGCACGGACGTCTCAAGGTCATGAGGCCCTGCAGGCTCATCAACCCCAGGGGCCCTGCCCACTATGGAGTGCTCTAAACCTGGCTCTTGCCCTTCACTCTGGGTTCTTTTGCCACCGGTTGGTTGAATCGCCCGCCCCTGTGGGCATCTCAGACTGCCAGCCGACAGCCTTGTTCCTCCCACTGAGTGGCTGGGGCCTTGAAGTACTGACCTCAGAGTCAGCCACCAAGTGTCACCTGTGGAGTCAAAAGGCGTCCCGCTGCCTGGTGTCCTGACCTCCAGACCTGAGGCGCCTAGTAGACCTGGCATAGTGGGCCTCCCTAGCCTTACAGCCTTGGGGCTTAGGGGCACCGGTGAGCTGCCTCCTCTGTGGAGAGGCCCCTCCCCAGCTGGAGCGGGGACGTCTAGCTGCAATAGAGAGCCACCTGCGGGCAGCCCTCCGCACAGTGGGGTGTGTTAGCTTCAGGAAGTGGGCTTGCCCCCAATCCCTGGGCTGCAATGTTCATTCATTGCTGCTCGAGGTGGGGTGTTCCCGGTCTGCGCTGGGACGTTGGAAGCCGGCCACCTCGTGCCCACTCTCGGCCCTAATCTCTGCGGCGAGACGCGCCCTGACGGGAAGGAAACGCGGGCGTGTGGCGCGCCAGCCGCGGCCCACACTCCATCTGTGCTCGCGTCGGTGCGGGGACAGGTGCCGCCTGTTGCTCATTTGCCATC